CCTTTATGGATATTTTATATTATATTCAAAACTGTGCAATGAACCCAGCACAGTGAACTCAATAACTACAAGATGTTTCTGTAAAACCAGTGATTTGGATTCATTTAGGGAACTTTTTATACAACTCTCTGTCTATATTGTGTATTTTTTTTTTTGAACAAATGTGTTTATTGATGTTTCAAGCTTTACATACTTAAACACATTTACAGATTTATTTTATTTCTTATTATAATAAAGCTATTAAGATCTTGTTGTATCCAATTAATCATGAGAAACAAATAGGAAAAAGAAAGAAAATAGAGAAACAAGTCAAACATACAGAACTGCTCGAAACAAGGTTGTTATTCCTTATATGTACCTTATCATACATCCAGAAGTCACATCCGAATAATTAAAATATAATGATATGTAAATAAATAATTGAAAAGTTAATTCAATTCTGATAATATTATGTCTAACATAAATACAGATTGATTAGAAATTAAAGACATGGGTGAATGATACTCACCACATAACTAAAAACAAAAACTACACCTTTGTTTACCTAAAACTAATTCGGATTGGGATCACCAGAGCCCAGTTACGGATGACCTATATTGAATTGAAATGTTCCGAATCAACTTACGTGATCCTGGCTATGTTAACGAATTCAAACAGTTAGCTAATAAAGGGTGTGTCCAACCTCAATTTTCAAGAATAAGACCATCTGTAAACGATGTTGAACCTTTGCGTTGTTACTATTTACTCCATTACTATAAATTAAACTATAAACAATCCGGCTAAGATACAAAGATCGCATCTTTCTATTACATCCATTGGCTCACTTACAAGTCGGGGGTAATGTATTGCTACCAAGACGATAGTAATCATCTATTTTGTGCCCACGGCACTTGTTATTGAGTAATGATGTTTGAGTAGGTTAACATTGTTTTTCTTTTACATAAAATTCAAGTAGGCACATCTCTCCAAGAAAAAGATTCAGTCCATGCGGGAAATCCTTGTATGATATCAAGTTGTTGTTAAAAGTATACGTTTGAAAAGTCTCATAAAGCCCGTCCGATAACCCCAGCTACCAGTACAATTTTTCAGTTTACAATACCTCCCCATGAAAATGCCGATGTATTGGTATCTTCTCCTTAATATTGGCCACTCACTGCAATTCGTCCCAGCGAAAGGAGAGATTTGGGTCTATGCCTGTTTATCGTCAAATAAAATTAATAGAAGTGAATAAGATATTTGGTGCGATCCATTTATACGTGATGTTTCGTGATGAGAAACAGCTGGGTAGATTCCTTTGTCCGATCTTAATCGTCCAATTTCCAATTGATAGGGTCTGCTGGTGCCAGACTCCCATATCCAATATCCATTCAACACATTCCTTGTTTCCCAATTTGTGTCACCACTTCTCCTTTACTACGCCAAGAAAAGCATCTCCTGTATATGACAATTCAACTGGCCTGATTATAAGGGTACATATATTAAAATGCTACCCAAAATTTTTTCTACCATTTCATATCCTTCCTAATAGTTCTTGGTAGATGAATAGATTATGTTCAATAGCAGAGTCAGAAGGCTGTAATTGTATACGAGCAACGTTTCGCCATTAGTTTCTATTCACTGAGTGACTGATCTAGATAGCATATCTCATGTCAAAGAAAAACCTGTAGAACATCTCATGGATTAACGCTATGTCAAACAAATATAGTTCTCTTAAAAATGTTAAAATTACATTTTAGTATTTCGCGCGTAAAAAATAACATCCAAATTAAACAAGCTAAGGCCCTCAGAATTTCCAGCTTTAAACCTTGAATCAGAATGTCTTAAGGTAAAAGATATGAAGACTGAGGTGCATCTCTATATGTTTTTCTTTACAGAAGTTTAACAAAACCTATACGGTGTGCACTAATCATACCAAGATAATATCCTGAATTTTATTGTTTATTGTCCATATAAACTCAATTTTCTTGGCAATAATGGTAATTACACCATATCACCATGAACCGCTCTTTGCTCTAAATCACACGATACAGCCATGTATGTTTTGTAATTAATTTAATTAACAATCATCACGATAGTTTAATTAATTTCTACTCTTCTATTGACAAATGTAAGTTCGATTTCCTTTGGTCTGAACGCCATTTTTCAATTGACATTATTAAACTTTATCTAAGCTTCAGGATTAACCAAAGATTTACATACAACAAAGTTCGAGATAAGGTGGCCCTACCTGTGGTATGACCCGGTTCGTAATTACTATCCAATCCTTACACCCTTTCATAAAATCTAAAGAGGCCTTGTGACCTCCCATGAAGCTTCCAGGTTGGGAGCCACGTTTTTACATAAATCAGATGCGACTATATGGGTGTACAACACAAAGTAGCCCATAAAATTCAGTGCGACTCTCCCCTTCCAATGTGTTTGTACAATGTGTGAGCGTAGCATTCTCTGTTTCATTCACAAATGATCATTCTAGTGAACCCCTCACAAGGCAAAAGATGCTGATGAGGTTATCTGCGAGTTCTCATACAATCATCTGTGCGGGAGAGAAGTAATGACGAATTCCATGTCATGAATCCTCCAGAACTCTTTGCCAAATGAGACTAAAAAAGTAAGTATCAAACCCTAAAAGTCTTTTTGTTTACACTTTCGGGACGATAATTGAAATTCGGTTCAATAAATGTTAAATTTAAATCAACGAAACTCAAGTGCATAGATGTACTATAAGCCAAAATTTCTTATTATTGATATTGTCCTAGATTAGTATATGTCCAGCATAGGTATAAACAATCATCAAGATATTGTACCATATACTAGTTAAACAGAAATCAAGTATTAAAAGTGTTCATGTAGTGATCACATTTATAACTCAATTTGCGCACAGTATCAAGCGCTCATATAAAGGGAGGAATTTCTTCCTGCATTGCTAGGTACGCCGACATCAGGAGACGATGAAATGCAGCTATACATTAAATGTAAAAGATATATATCACTCTCTTTATTCGAATATTTGTAACCATCCTTGAGTTTCCTCTCTACGACCAATGTGATACAATGGCGCTGTACTGAGACATGCCTGGCTCCTTTAGTGAAATAGTAGGTTAAGGCTGCCCTGCGACTTTCCCACGAAATTGCAACTCTAAACCATCACATAAACGCACCCACACGCACACATGACAAAGGAAAAGGAGAAATTGTACTAGATCCTTTGTCTGGTATTTACCACTTCCCTTTTTCAAATATTGATCAATGAATAGGTGTAATTCCTGCCATTCATGAATCGCAGTTCACGACCATCATACGTAACTCCGCACAGGTTGATCATTAGGGAATCCCAATACTTGGCAACACCCTTGTCTCAGCCACAAATTTGGTGTCTCTTAAAACTCGGTCACACACTCCACTATCAAACACAGTCAAGATCCAAAATTTCCAGAACTTTCTCCACTGCTCAGCTCAAGTCCTAATCAACGTATAACCCGACTCCCCCCTATTCTGTCCGACAGCAACTGTCAGTCCTGTCTCCTCCCCTTGTTAATCTATCCCTACTCTTCCCTTGTTCAATTCACTACCAGTATAGATTGCCTTCCCTTAATTAAATCTTCATTAATCATTAAGTGGCTCTCTACCTCAATCCATATAATTAAAGGACTCCCCGACAGGGCGTGCGCGGAAAAAGCCGGGCCCTTACCGAAGACCCTAATAATATTTTGAGACATCAGATAACGTAAGCCAGCTCTATTTCCAGACATAATTGACTTCTTCCGTCATCACGGCTCGACACCAAAACACCTCCTTTGGTCCTCTCCAAACTGGCGCCGCAGCTCGAGCCCAATTAAGCTCCTCTGACCCCACAACGAAAATAACCTCTAAATTAA